GGCTGGACCAGGCAGATCTTTCCGACGAGTTATTAAGGAAATAGAGGACATCTTTGCATGCTCTTGTTATAAGAAAAAAATAACTGCTCCTTTTCCCTTATGGGGTATCTAAGAGCCCATGATTATGATTTATGTGGTGATAATTGTTAAAACTACATAATAATAATGATAATATGATGATGATGATGATGATGATGATGATGATGATAATAGAACAATATGAAATTGTTAAAAGTACTTAATAATAATAATGATAATAATAATAATAATAATAATAATAATACAATATGAAAGAGTCATGGGTTCCCCAAATTATTCTGGGAGTTATAGTTTCCCCAGGGGGCTGAGAGGTGCTAGGAAGCACCCTCTAATTTTCCCGTCTCAGCTGCAATTTTATTTATTTTCTACGTCTCTGTTTCTTACCATTCCTCCACGCAATCATTATTCTTCTCCCCATTTTAATCCCCTGTGGGGGGGGAGATTCGAGCTCCAGTGGGGGGGGAGATTCAAACCCAGGTCTCTCCCCAGGTCCTGGCCCCGAGACTCTACCCACTGCACGGCGCTGCCTCTCAGCGTTCTCGGCAAAGAGAGACGGGGTGGTTCGAGCGCCCTGGGTCGTTCCAGCCTTCCCCATGGGCGTTAAGAAACCCTTGTGCGATTTCTGGCGTTCCTCGCTTTTCCCAGCTGCCAACCAGATGTGACATTTTCCCCAGCGAAAAAGGCAAGGCTCTCTTTTCCAGACCGTTTTCGGCCGGGGTGTCCCGGGAAGGCCACCAGGGATGGGGATGGATGGGGTGTGCGTCGGTTCTCCCCCTCAAGCCAGATTTCTCCCCCTCCATGACTTATTAGCTGCCGTCTAAGCCTCTGGAGACTTGTGCGATCGTCTCCCTTTCTGTTGGCCCGGCGCCTCGTTCCTCTTCCAGCTCTCCAGACCCAAGTGCTCCCTTGCAGGGAAGATGGTAGGAAGGGCTCTGAGTCATTTCAAAATGATTTCAGAATTTCAGTTTGCAAGTGTGCGTCCTTTCCTTTCCTCCTCCCCATCCTTCCCTCCTCAATGCCCCCCTCTCCTTCCTTCCTTCCTTCCTTCCTTCCTTCCTTCCTTCCTTCCTTCCTTCCCTCCTCAATGCCCATCTCTCTCTCTCTGCCCCCCCCTCTCTCTCCTTCCTTCCTTCCTTCCTTCCTTCCCTCCTCAATGCCCCCCCTCTCTCCTTCCTTCCTTCCTTCCTTTCCTTCCTTCCCTTCCCATCCCAGGTCCCCCCCAGCCACTCTGGGCGGCTTCCAACAAAACAGGGCTGCCTTTAGATGTCTTCTAAAATTTTGGTAGTTATTTTTCTCTTTGACATCTGGTGGGAGGGCGTTCCACAGGGCGGGTGCCACCACTGAGAAGGCCCTCTGCCTGGTTCCCTGTAACTTGGCTTCTCATAGTGAGGGAACCGCCAGAAGGCCCTCGGCGCTGGACCTCAGTGTCCGGGTAAAATGATGGGGGTGGAGACGCTCCTTCAGGTATACAGGGCCAATTAGGGCTTTTCAAGGTCAGCACCAACACTTTGAATTGTGCTCGGAAACGTCCTGGGAGCCTTTAGGACCGGTATTATATTGTCCCGGCGGCCGCTCCCAGTCACCAGTTCAGCAGCCGCAATCTGGATTAGTTGCAGTTTCCGGGTCACCTTCAAAGGCAGCCCCACGGAGAGCGCATGGCAGTAGTCCAAGCGGGAGATAACCAGAACATGCACCACTCTGGGGAGACAGTCTGTGGGCAGGGAGGGTCTCATCCTGCGTCCCAGATGGAGCTGCCCTGGACACAGAACTGACCTGCGCCTCCATGGACAGCTGTGAGTCCAGAATGACCCCCAGGCTGCGCACCTGGTCCTTCGGGGACACAGTGACCCCATACAGGACCAGGGAGTCCCCCACACCTGCCCGCCTCCTGTCCCCCAAAACAGTACTTCTTATTTACGTGTTTGCCTTGTACATTTATGAACATTTATTTTATATATATAAAAGACCTTAGAATTCCTGTAACAGTAGACAAAACTGAACTAGATGCTCTGACTGTATAAGCCAGCTTCTGACGTCGATACGGTCCTTTCCTGCGGTCTTTCCATTCCGTCTTTCTTCACCTACTGAAAAAGCACCTGCCCCCCCCCAATAAAATCCTGGGAACTGTAGTTTTTTCTGGGAGTTGTAGCGCCATGAAAGTACAGTTCCTAGATTCTCTGGGATTCAAGTGCGTGGCATGGATGGCGTCAGTGGCGAGCTATGAGATGGGGCCTCACAGCTTCTGTTTCCTGACCCCTGCTCCCAGCGGGACGCTGCCTGCTTAAATAAATTTGTGCTTCTAAGGGCAGGCCGTCCCAGCTGGTTGCCCCCGGCCCCCAATCCTTGGCTGGCTTCTCCTGATCTTGCATCAGTTCCTGGAAGCAATAGGAATTCCTACTTTATTACAGCCTTGATTTATGGTCCGAGGGAAAGCAGTTGCGATGTTTCTCTGATCCGCCGG